TCTGGACATGCTGCTCAAAACACATCAGAGTGGGACAATCTCCTCCCTTGACCAGCTGGCAATACTGTGCCTGATGCCCCCCAGGACACAGCTGGCCCTCCTGGCTGCCAGGGCACTGCTGACTCAGATTCAACTTGCCATTAACCCAAACGCCCAGATGTCTTTCTGCAGCGTTGCTCTCCAGGCCTCTTGTCCCCCAGTTTGTATGTATTATTACCGCATCCCAGGTGGAGAATGCAACACTTGATCTTTGTTAAACTGCATGTGTCTGGTGATCATCCTGCCCTGTAGTCTTTTTGGATCCCTCTGCAAGATCTCTCTGCCCTTAAGGGAGTCCACAGCTCCTACCAGTTTAGTATTGCCAGTGAATTTACTTAATGTACATCTAATTCCTGTCTCCAGATCATTCACAAAACATTACACATATTGCATTTTGTGTAAAGCATACTGTCACGAGCATCCAAAGGGCTTATGCCAAAAACATAAACCTTTTGGTTTATATTCTTCCAATTGAGGAAAGCAGGGAATCACTTTCAAAAGATTTCAGGATTAAAGAACCTCCTCTCTATCTCTTAATAAAATCTCGAACTTATCCATTCACCCTGATAATATCTTTAAGAAATCTTCAAGAAATCTCCTTGTTTTATCATGTCTTACAATAAGAATGTTTCAAGATGTAAGCTAAACAGAGAGTAAGCCACTGAGTGATGAGCAACTGTGCACAGAGAAGAACTACATAAAAAAAAAAATCACACAAAAATCTCACCACAGAACCGGGTCAATTTTGCAGGGGGTTTAACAGTTTAAAATTTGGAACAACTTCAGCAATAGTACCATGAAACAAAACATCTATAGTAAACAGCAGTCTTTTCTAAAACTATGAAGCACTGCAGTCACACTGTGTCTTTTGAGACTCAAGTCTTTCAAATGGCTTATATATTAAGAGTCCAGTTAGAGTTACATAATATTTAGTATTTTACCAAATGTTTATCTCTGCTTCACCACAGGTGATCTCACAAAAAAAACCCTGACTCAACAGTTGCAATCAGCAGTCTTAACAGCAAGATGTTGCAATACTATGTTTTACATTATTATATTAATATCCTTTAAAATGTATAGTGTTGAAGTATCATGCTAAATGCTAGGAAGAACACTCTAAAGTTTTCTTTATTTGTTCACTGAAGTTCACACAAAACATATTAATTCGGTTTAAAAAAAGTCTCAACACAGAAGGCAGTAGTTTGGTTTTTTATTTGTAAACAGTAAAGCATCTCCCCAATTAAAATTAAGTTCCAACAATTCTGAGGAGTCCACAGTGGCTATATTTACTTACAATTTAATATCAGAAAAAAAATAAAATTAACATTCCAGATTACTGTAGGAAAAAAGTGTATACCACACTTAATGGCATACAAGATTTGTAACAAGCAAAAAAACCCCTGTTTTACAAGTAATCTCCCTTCCGAATAGGTTTTTATTTTAGTGCAGTTAGCACTCTCTCCCCATAGGCTATACATTTAGAATCCTCTATATACAAAAAAGTACAACAAATTGGTACATTACTTATTGCAAGAAATTAAGGATGGCATAATATACACAAATTAAATTAGTCCCCCCCCCCCACTTGCATACCCTCTTGCTTCTTATTTCTCCCATGAAGCAGTCTCCTTCTCTGGTTCTAAGATTAAGTTCTTTCACTGAAAGGCACGTACTTCTCTACAACAGAAGAAACAGATGCATTAATCTGAAATGCCCTGTTTCAAGGGGAAATTTAGCCTACATTTTTGAAGATTAAACATTATGAAAGAGCCAAGAGAGACAAGACATTTTATTATTAAATTTGCCTGCAAAAGCTCTTAGTTACCATAGGACTGTGAAGCAAAGTGCCACAAAACTGCATTCATTTAAACCTTCCAAACAGAGAGACAGCTCATTGATGAAAATAAAAAGGGATTTACCATGGTGAATGTATTTCTGAACTTCCAAGGCTCCCGAGTTCCTATTGAAACTTTGGTAAGTCTAACAAAAACAGAGTAAGTGCTTTTCCTTGCAGCTTGCAGCGTGAAGCAAGTAGTTTCTGTGTGAAGTAATTTAATGAGGATTGTAAACAACTAGTGTGATATAACTTTGAAAAACAAAGACGTGATATGAGTATACCGTACCTCAGTTAACATGTATGTAAAGCTGTATTGTGAGAAACCAAGGTTTAGAATTTCCAACTTGGACATTTAATAGCATGCTATTGAACAAAATGACTAAAACATCCTGCTCAGGTAAACTGCTCCAAACTGCAGCAGCAGAGAGATTAGGGGTATGGTGATGGTAACAGTGGGAGTACCCTTAAACTGCACCTGTGTTACAACAGGGGGCACTGGGGACTTTTTTTTCATACATCTCTGAAAGAAAATGGCAACACTGGAGAAAACTGTATCTGGACACCAGTACACTACTACTTTAGGACAGAAGCCAGTTTCTCTGCCTAGTCTTGGAAAGGTCATATAAACTTATCAGCTAGCCCAGCAGTAGCCTATAGAAACTTCTAACATATGCACACTGTGCTGTAGACCATCACCTTAAAAAAAGTTTGATTGTTTCAATAAAGAAAAATGAAAGCAAAGTGGATACCACAAACAGGTCATAAAGAAACGAAGAAAAAAGACATCTATAATTTGATGTCAATAACAAATTTATATGAACATGCAGATTAGAATTTCCTGCAACTACGTTCAGTTTTTTAGTGCCTTCTGTTATGAGTTATGAGGAAAAGAAACTTATGCACTGAATAAGCAAATTGTTGATGATAAGTTAGGCAAAACTGCAACTGTTCTTTACTCAACAAAGCACTAAACCCAAAAACCACTAAGGGCCTCTCTTTGTTGTTCTCTAATCAGTTGCTCCAAGCCTGACTATATATTTATGCTACCTTAAAAAACCCCAACCAACCCTTTCTCTGAATTACTGCAAACGTCAGGACAAAGTGTAACGACATCTCCTGAGAATATCTCAGTATCATTTTCATCAAGTTGTCCTCATTGACTCTTTGATTATTTACGTATTTTGTACTGCCTTTGGTCATTCTTACTTAAGCAGTGACACGAAGACATTACTAAGCTTCAATGCAGATGCAAAAGACTTAGTTGAAACAAGGGGAAATGAATTAACTTTAAAGAGTACCTTCAATTAAGGTTAAAAAAAAAATTTAAACTTTCAAACTTTCCTCCCAGCAATGCCCTTGCCTTGCAAAATTCGGACAGCACTTTATCAAGCTGTTCTACAGAGATTTGTGGAGTGAATTCACATTGTTAAGCACTGCTTTCCTGCTGCACATGAACAGCTTCAAAATAAAAAGTAACTCTTAAGATTTTAAGAGCTTCTCCCCATAAAGGAGAACAGCACAAGATCTCAATATACAGAAACAGAGTATATTATATTCACAGTCTTGACTAAAAATAACTGAAGCCCATTTTTTCTCAAGTTCCCAGTATCAAAATAAGGACTTTGATAATTTAAGCACATACTTTCTCAGCGATATTGAAACAACAGTTTAGATAATTCTACAATGAAATACTCAAATTAATTTTTTTTCTCCCTCAGACTGAAGTGTTTAGAAAAGTACAAGAAAAAAAACAAAAATCAGAAATCTGCTCTGAAAATTGTAATTGTACAATACTATTTGTTAATGATGACACTATTATTGTGACAGTACTTCCTACTAAACAATATATTCAATTCTCCTGCAAATAAACATTTATAAAGAATATCACGTTAACTGGCCATCAAATACCTCAAAGTCTAGTCAGTATGCTGAATTACAACAGAAGTTACGAGATTTAAGGAAGACATTGAGGGAATTCCTGGATACAGTGTGACAATTACACTGGAGCAAGACTAGTAACATGGGATAACTATAAGAGCCACATGATTCTGTAATACAGAGGAACGCTAAGTGTAGATATTCCAACTAGTTTATTCTAGTGTGCGGTGGAAAAAAACCAGAAAGACAGACTTTGACTTATGAAAAAAAAAATTAATCAGAAAGATTCCCTCTAAGGAGACAAAGTTAAAAGAGACTGAACCTTTCACTTCAGTTTCCAGAACTGCACCCAATGTTATTTCCTGACAAACAGCAGAACACCTTACTATACCAATACTTCTAATTCATTTGAGACACCATGTATTGCAGCTGTTGAATTGTTCTGCTTGAACAATTATTCAGTCTAACATTAAACAGTGTGATTCAACTATTTGCTGTGACTGGCAGAATTCATCATTTATATCTTCTGGTACTTGACAGTAGTCCTCACTGTGAAAATACTATCCATTTTTTTTACTCTATCTTCATACGTGCAGTGTGGTGGCAATTACTCAAAAAGGAAAACTTTTAAGTCTGAATTAAAGTTTGAATTGATCATAATCTTTAAGTGTAAGGACAATACGGAAATAAAACCAAATTTGAAAACAATAAGGAAATATAACAAAATTTTCCTCTATCTATGTAGTTGCAAAGAGTGACCTAAGAATATGAGCCTTTAAGTGCAGCAGTACCAAATGTAAAACTTCGTTCAAGATCATCAACTGCTGACTACTTTAGCAATGAGAATGCAGAATGAAGCGAAGCTGCTTGAAGCAGAACTCACAGGTGAAAATAACGCAGGAAAACCTGAGGAGCTTCAAAACAAGAAAAAAACCTAAAAAAAACTAGGAAAGAGAAAGGTAAAAGCTAGTTGTTGACTTTAACGTAAGCTTCAATAATGACACTGTATTTTTAACAAAAATATCCTACCTTCCTCTCCACTTCTCTGGAATTCACATGCTGAAGACAAATGGTGCTTATCTTCTTGCCCACTAAATTCTTGCCCATTTAAAATTCAAGTGATCTTGACATCCCTTCTCCAACTATGCACACGAAACACAGTAGTGAGCTTTCTCAAAGAAACTGCTTATCACCCACACTCCTTCACTTCTATTGTTAGAAGTATATTTGGGTTCTAAATACTAACCTTCGAGGATGATTGGCATCAAATAGTGTTGTATCATCATCATCATCATCTTGCTCTAATGGGGTCAGCTCCATGTTTTCTATGTTTGTGTCCAAAACTCCATATCTTCGGGTTTTTCTGTTTCGCCTTCTGAGCCTGAAAGGTATTTTAAAACATTTAAGTTACAGGAATATTTCTCTACTTTCTACTTCAATAATTTAAGAAAACTATTCCTTAAAATACCTCTATATTGATATTTAGTGTAAGTTTCTTAAAATTTATAAGTGACGTGTAAACACTCTGCTCTGTGAAATTCAGAGGGCAGACAATTTTAAGAGTCAACAGTTTACATGAAATAATTAAGGCCAATAAGAATGTCATCTGTAGTTTTGTACAGAATTACTGCATTGAATACAAAAAGCCTACACAGGCACTTGGCAGCTAAATGTAAGAGCCAAGTAAAAATACATGCAAATGTATACTTCTAGCAGGTCTAGCAGTGAGAAAAAATTGCCTTGTTACATATTCTCTATGCGTTTTATGCATCTGTAAAGAACAGCTGATCAAATCAGAGAGAAACGAAACAAAGCTATAGCAAAGGTGTAACACAAGCCATGGGTGACACTGAAAATTTTTATTATAATTTGTGCAGTCTTTTATGAATATCAAGTAAAACATTGTTTATACCTACACTTCAGAATAAGAGAGAACTTGTAGAGTCAATGCCTTGTATGCTTCACAAAACGCAGAAGGAAGAGGCAGTGACTCACGTTTCAGATTAAGGCACAGTGCTTATCACAGACACACCGACAGTTTACATCTGCTTTTCTCACTTTCTGGGGCTTTGCTGCACGGGCCCAGATCCCATGTGAGCCCCCACACAATGAACTCTTCCATCTGGCTCTTCAGAACTACTCCTGCACGCATGGAACAAGCCTTGCCTAAGATCCAAAATTCCGATCAGCAAACATTGTGCAGAGCCATCTGTTTACAGAATGCTGATGGTCACACTTTACCATTTTTCCTTAATGGGTTAATATGGAAAGTGAGTTGGTACTGTGAGTCAAAAATAACCTAAGACAGCCATAGCAAATGTTCAGATTGCAGATAATGCAAAAAAACCCTCATCACAAAGCTGGCACAGATTTCTAGATTCAAACAAATCCTTTTGAAAAAAGGATAAACTAATCCTTTGTGACACAAAACTTTCTCTATATATCAATTAGTCAAAAGACTACAGCTACAAGAATACTGGAGATGCTTATGCAAGATTCACGTACAGTCATAGCCAGGACTCTAAAGCAGTGTCCTGACTTTTAACAAAATCTAACTTAAAATCCTTTACTGTATGACTGTTTTAGAATTCAATTGTTCAGTTGGAAAGGACCTACAATGACCATCTAGTCAACTTGGCTGATCAATTCAAGGCTGACCAAAAGTTAATGGATGGTACTATGATACTGTCCAAACGACCCTCTCTCTAGGAAGCTCTTTGACTACCATATTGGTAAAGAAATGCTTCCTGATGTCCCATTTATACCTCCCCTGGTGACCCATAAGGTCAACCCTAAGGCCTTCTTTTCTCCAAAATAGACAAGCCCAAAGTCCTCCGCTGCTCCTCACAAGACATGCCTTCCAGCCCATCTGCCAGTTTGGTTGCCCTGCTCTGGTCATACTGAAGTGCTTTACTATTCTTCCTAAATTGAGGGGCTCATCACGGCACACAATAGTCAGTGGAAGGCCACACCAATATTGAACACAGGGGAACGATCCCCTCTCTTGACTGGCTTGTTGTGCTGTGTGTGATGCATCTGGGATGCAATTTGCCCATGCTGACTGATACTGAGCTGACCATCAACCAGTACTACCAGATCCTTCTGCAAGGCTGCCCTCCAGCTAGTCCTCTCCCAATTAATACTTGCGTTCAGTGTTATTCTGTTTCGGCTGCAGACTCTAGCATTTGCTCTCATCAAATATCATGCCATGGGTGATTGTCCAATGCTCCAATCCATCCAGATCCCTTGGGAAAGCCAACTGCACCTCCCAGTTTGGCATCATCAGCAAACTTGCTAATGGCACATTAAACTCCAGCCTTCAGATAAAAATATTGACCAAAATCAGCCCTAGAACTGAGCTCTGAGAAGCACCACTGGTGACTGGCTGCAGCTCTTCACTACAACCCTTTGAGCCCTGTCATTCCACTGGCTCTCTACCCAATAGACCATGAACCTGCTCACTCCACAGCTTGACAACTTGTCCAGGAGGGTACCACGAAGGACAGTATCTAAAACCTTACTAAAATCCACAAAAACTACATCCACTGTCTTCCCTTCATCCACTGAGCAGGTCACCTGGTTAAAAGGTTGCAAAAGAGCCCTGAAGCTTTTATGTCTGACAGCAAGACATATGTATTCAGCCTAAGAAAACCTTTCAAATAACAGAGATGTCTGTACTTAGACTCTGTATTTCTTATATAACTGTTGCAAAAATTTTTCAGCTACAAGTTCAAATTCAAAAACACACACTTCATCTATTCCTAATTTCAAAAGCAAGATGCAGCAGAATTACAGAATAATGTGAGGCTTAACCTTCCTGTTTATGGTGGCACCTAGAAGACAGTACTACAGTTTCAAATGCAGAACTGCCAGCTTCCTATTGCCAAAACTGGAATGTCAAGGAATTACCACTCATCCAGAAAATAATGGCAGTTGATGAGTTTTCCTCTTCAGCTCCTGCAATGGCAAGCTTTTATTTACTCACACCTCCAAATCCAATGGGGTCCTGTTAGGAGAAACACTAACACTGAGAAGTGCTCTTGCCTACTCTTACTCCCTTAAAAAAGATTATGACGTTTCCTTTTAGGTATGATAACAAGATATGCATCTTACACAAAAATAAGACTGAAGGCTTCTCAAGAATGACCTGTAAGAGCTATGGAGCAATCACAATATCCCAGTTTACTGCATATGCTTGTACATGCCACACACCACCTTTCGACTGCCTTTCTGGAACAAGTGATGCAAATACCAGGCACAATAATCACCAGCATAACTAACTACAATGAAAAGTAGATAGAGAACTTGCTGCATAATTAATGTGCTTTATGCATAACCACACATTTGGGCCTTGCCTGGAAGAGTTCCAAGTTAAAACACGACAGAGACAAGTAAAACTACAAAGACAAAAAAAATACAGTCACAAATGGTGTACTTAACTGCATGAGAAACATAAAGGCAGTTGGCTGGTACTGCAAGCTTTTTAAGGGCCCTTTCCATTAAAAAGTACAAAATAGGTAAGTTTACTGTGCAAGAAACCATAAAAGAAAGATGTTTACTGAGAAAGACGGGGAGAGGCACAAATTCGGCAGCTTAGCGGGTCAGAAATTTGCAAACAGGTCACAACCTGCTGGAGAAAGTACAAAATTAAATTCAGGTGGGCTGATGGAAGAAGGCCACTTGGGGAGCACAGGAGGGGGTCGGAAAGGCCCGGCACTAATGCGCTCCTACCCAAGCCCCACTGAGCTCCCTCCCGCCTACGCGGGGGAGGCGGCACCGGGAGCTCCCCGGCGCTCCTGCCCGAGTTTCCCCCAGCCGCCCGCCCGCTCCCGCCCTCACCGCACGGTCCGGATCACGAAGTAGACGATGAGAGTGGCGCTCGCCAGCACCAGAACGGACAGGGCGCGCTGGGTCATGGGCTGGCCCTGCTCGGGTGGCGCCGACACCTCGGCCAGGCGGCTGCTGCTGCTGCTGCTGCTGCTCCGCGTGGCGGCCCCGCCGGCCGCCTCCGTGGGGCTCGGGGAGGCGGTGGAGGCGTCCCGGGGCCGCGGGGCCGCAGCCTCCCCGCAGCTGGCGAGCAGCAGCAGCAGCAGCAGCAGCCCCGCCAGGAGGCCGCGCAGCGCCCGCGGCCGCATGTCCCGCTCGTCCCGCCCGGCGCGGCCCCGCAGCGCGGCCGGGCCCCGCCGCCTCGGTCCGGCCGCCGGAAGCGGAAGCAGCCAGGGCTGCCCGCCCCGCGGGGAGACTCCATGGATTTCGTTGGGACCCGCCCCGCTGGGGATTCCGTGGATTTCATTGGAGATACCTTTTTTCCGGGAGCGGCCAATGTCGCTCAGGGGCTACTTGGAATGTAACCGGATTTAAGGCAGATTTTACTTTTTTTAAACTGATCCCCCTATTTTAGCCTAATTCTGTCTGCGTGCGAAAGAATGCAAATTTTATAACTGAGTTAAATGAAAGCAGGAAAATTCCCATCGTGACCCTTCCCGAGGCTGTCTGGCAGGAGCATTCCCAGCGCCAGAGGCTGTCACTGCTGGGACCGAAGCCCCTTGACGGCGGGCGGTTCCAGTGATCAGATTGGAGCCCCTTTGGCTCTCTCCAGATGCCCGAAACCAGCATACAAAGGAATACTCCCTAGTACTCACAAAGACTCTTAAAGAGTCCTCCTTTGTACCCGGCTTGCGGGCATCATTCCCCATCTAAATCCCACACGGTCGGACCAGGTTTCCTCCCCGCTTCGATGCCGGGTATCCCATGGCAGAGGCCCAAAATCTCGTTCATTCGCGGCGCAGTCACGTGGAACAGCCTGAGCTGGTGCCTTCGATGAGGGACCTCTCAGCAAAGGAACTGCTTTTTATCCCCTTACAGTCCTCTCCCTCTCGAGTCCTCTGCTACCGATGTGTCTCGCAGTGTCCATCCACCTGCTGCCACCGCCGGTCTCCGTGCGCTTCGTGCTCCCACCTGCAGCTTGACCTGCATCTCGCACTGCAGCTGCAAACCCTGCTGCCTGCACCAGATGTATTCCTCGACAACGAGCAAAAGGAAGGGTTGGAAAAGGGCCTGAAGGCTTGGACTCCAGTTTTTTCTTCAGATGTGGTCCAGTGTTGGAAAGACCAGGACAGGGTTGTGTCTGGGCAGATCACAGGGGAAGGTGGTGGAGAAGCATTACATTGCTTAGTGGGTGTTCGAGTAGAGAAGACAGGGCCCTGACACAGGGTAATGCTGTCTACAGAATGACTCTGTCATAAAGTTTACTGTGCTTGTGTCATGTGTGTTCTTAAACTAAGTGCTGTTCTGATAGGATAATCCTTTTATAGTTAGAATCTGTTATTCGATTATTTTTATTCTCTCTCTTTTTTTTTCTTTTTTTTTTTTTTTTTTGTGAGCAGTAAACTACAACAAGGCTTTCAAGGATCCCATGTGCATGGAGAAGGTGAAATCCACATTGCCAGTGAGCTCTTTCTCATTTGTCACTATGTTGAAGGGAATGGATAAAATGCCAGAGCAGCAAAGAAGCTTTGTATAGAAATATTATTGCAGTTGAAGTAATAACCAGATTTTTATTTTTTTTTTATGAGCAGACTTGTTATCACAGAGGCCTTAAACTTACTGGTGTATCAATCATATTGGGTCATATAGAATCACATAGAGGTAATGTCAACAGCGATTAGTTAATTTATTAACAAGCTAACAAGTTTAGCTGTTAGTTAACTGTGAAAACAGATTCAAGGGGAATGTGGAAGCTGTAAAACTGATTTAAATAGCATGTGAGCCTTTAAACTATCATCAGTAGTACATCTTCTCTTGAAAAAATGTAGTCCTTTTAATGGGAATAGACTTTCAGATTCTTTGAACAACAGTTTTTGCTGAAAGTGCTGGAGGGATGGAGCATGTGAATAAACTTTCTTGATAGCTTTTACCGTGGTTTATAACTCTGATAGGCTTGACTGATTCAGGTCCTGCCACTCCCAATCAAGCTGCTTCTACCCCATGAATTCCCTTGAGGTATATTTTCTCTTGACAAGTTCAAGCAACTTCCTTCCAGCACAGTGATTTATGACAGAGGAAAGTGTCATATTCAAAAGTCAAGGAGGAATACTTTTTAGAATGTCAGTCATTGATGCTAAACTGTCCTAAAGAAGTATCCATGACTCGTGGACTGTGTAAAATGTAACAGTGCTGAGTTGCTCACTCTGGGTGATGTGGTAACATACTGCATGGTAAACTGCATGTCAGATGCAAAGCATGAGGGAAAAAGAAAAGAGTATTGCTAGAGCAATTTGTGTTCCTTATTTTGAAACAAAAATGGTTATTAAAGTCCTTGTATATTTGTTGGGGTTTTGTGTTGTTTTTTGCTTGTTTTAATCATCAAAATGCATAGATTTGTTTAGTATTCGAGTCAGGTATAAATAAGCTTCAAGTTTGTATGCAAAAATGTGCTTTGAGAGAGCTATAATTCTTTCATTAAATTTGACATAACTTTGAACCTGCATATGGAAATTGATTTGACAGTCATTTTTACCTGACTATTAGTAACTGTTGTCTAATTTACTGGTTGGAGACAAAGACAGGAAAAATAATTTAAAAACTTGTGATGTTCTGTGATCATCCTGGTATACAGCAGCTTTTGCAAGATGTGTCTTAGGGTTATATTCCCCTATCTGTGTAAACTGTAGAACTTTTCTCACTTAAAAAGAAATCAGGAACTTTGTATCTTACACCTGAAAGGTGAAAGAACTTGAGTGCCTGTGAAAGACCCTGAGACTGCTAAATTGTCCATTAAAATAATGGAGCTCACTTGAGTTTTACCTTTGAGAAAAACAAAATTGGCAAATTTTTTTTGAGTTCCATAAAGTAGGCCACTCAGATGAGTTGAAACAGCAGAAAAATTACTTTATAAGATTATGTCAGTGTCAAGGATGTCTAGGAAGGGGTCTTTTCATCAGGAAATAAAACAGTGATTCAGAGAAAGGCACTTGGAAGCTCTCTATTTTTGCTTTGTCTTGTTTTGCTAGTTCACCTAAAATGTCAGTGTGTGCTTCCTGATACTTGTAGTAACAAAGGGCACCATACAGAGAACATCTCTTTCCTTTTCCCTCAGCTCTATTAGTCTGTCTATATTACAGATTATTATGAGTTGGAAGGGACCCACAAGGATCATCAAGTCCAACTCTGAACTGACTGGCCCCTACAGGGACCAAACCCACAACCTTGGCATTATTAGCACCGTTCTCTAACCAACTGAGCTGATGTTGTTTCTTCTCTATGAAGTCCTTGTGGAATGACTTTCAAGTGATCTTGAAAAATGAAGACATCAGAATTGGCCACTCTTCTCTGCTCTGATGGGAGCCTACATGGGTGCAAGCTGCCTGCTGTCCCTGTGAGCCATATTAAACTCCTAAACCCCAAATAGCACTATCCAGTTCTATAGGTCTCCAAACCATGTTCTACTCACTATTATTTATGCTGAGGACATCTTTATCCAAATATCTCTATCCTTACCCTTGTGTAGATAAGAAATTTTTTTGATCAATCAATTAGAAAAAGCTCAGTTTAATCTTTGTCTCTTTTAATTACTCCTCCCCTGATGATATGCAAACTACTTAACTGCAGACTGTTGCAAAGGATTGCAGAAGAATATGTTCTGCAGAGGATTTACAGATACATTTTGAAAAAAAATATGTGCATAATTTTTCTAAGAAAAAGAAAAAAGATGCATTTTACATTTATGTACAACGAGCTCTAAACTGGTCCTTGACTACTTTTTAGAATGCAGCTGAGTGCCTCTTTATGTTGGTGCCTTTAAAAGTCTAGCTATTATGTTTACATAATTGTTATTTGAAATGTCTTTGTTAGCTCTGGATAAAACTAACTGAGATATTGTGTTTAAAGAAAACTTAGTGAAAAAGACAGTGTGACTTCCTGAACATAAAAATGATGTCTAGAATCTGAAGGTAAAGAATCTTTGCAAAGTTTGAGAGAATACTATCTAAAACCAGGTTTTGAATGGAATTCTGATGCTGCACACAAATGTTCCCTGGAGGAGACATGGAACGGCACTTCCTGTACATGTACAATTACAGAGCCAGAGACTAATGTGTCTGGCACCATTGAAGTAAAACTATTCTATGTTGTTCTTGTCATGGTACTCCTGCACAAAATGGTCATCATAGTTGAACTCATCAATTATCTTTCTGTGTAAGTTTTTGGCAAAATGCTTTGAAGGGACTGGGAAATCTCATCATGTTTAGTATTATGTTTTCATGTTTACCTTTTGTCCTTGTAGTACCAAAAGGCTACTGGCAGTACCAGGATCAATTTCTTGTGCTCAAGAACATGAAGTAATTAAGAAGACAAAAGGATGCTACAAGAAAAAAGTGGCTTATGCTTTTTATTTTAAATCATGAACATATACTTAGGAATATATCACAGAAGTTTAAATTCCTTTTGGAGTTGCATTTTGGGGTGGTGCTTGCTCATAAAATCAGTGCATTTTATACAGTCTATATTTTGCTTTCTTATTTTAAGCAGTGGAACAATAAGAGTCAACAATAAACATTGTGCTTTTATTGTCCTTTTTTAAAATTGAGTTGCCAGATAAAGTCTGTTTTTATTATAACGGCAAGTTGCTGAAGGTAGTCAAGCTACTTTAATTTGTTTCAAAGAAGAAGTCATTTTATATACAACTATAAAAAGTAGTTTATAGCAACAATAAATTTACCTAACGATTTTAAAATTTGTTCCTGTTACTGGTCTGAGCAAGTGTTTCTTTGGCAAGTTCCCATCTACAGCAGTGTCTTCTAGTATTCCAGTGGGCAATATTTTTCTTTCATTTTTCTCAGATTTATCTTTAGATCCAACAGTTTCTGGCAGAATCTAGGCTGTTTACCTACATATGGAAGCTAGAAGGGGTCACAATTTGTATCATGCATTGTTATGGATGACCTTCTATCATGTTGCCCTGCTTATTTTTCTTTAACTGTATTCATCCAAACCTAAAGGTTTTGAGATTATGGACCACTGCAGCCTCTTCCTCTGTCACAGAGAGACCCTGTAAACTTTCCAGAGGTGCACTGTTTCTTAGTTGAAGTAAAACATGTTGCTACTAAATGCTGTCTGCTGTGGTGCTTCCTGAAATTCTTCTGGTCTCC